CAACAACACTTTATGAAGTCAGACTTTCCCAAACCACAGTGTAGTCAATTTCCTGCTTTGTGCACATCCTTTTCACATAGAAAAATAATCAGGAAAGCTTTAAAAAAAATAGAGAACTTGAACAGTTTAGAGCCTTAACTCATTTGTATAAGTGTCCAGATTTGTGCAGTCGTTCGTTTTTTAAGTATTGGGACCCATAACTGTGGTGTAGCTGTGCTTTGGCACCCTTGAGGAGTACATACCTTCTTCATGTATACGTGAAGATCACTGGAGTTACTGCACATCAATGCCATTTTCCAGAAGTTTGAATTTTATTCCATGTGCTTGCAAATGTTAGACCCTGAAAAATATATATATTATGTGTTGTCCACAAAACTGGAACCATTTTTGGAAAGTATGGCACTTAAAATTCAAAAGATTAATGTTTCGGCACTTTTCAGAAAACCAGCTCTGCTTTTTTCACCTATTGAGGTGTTTTATACCCTTTGGCTGCATTTGATGAAACTCAAAGAGTTCTAGGCTGTCCTTTCTTATATGAATACAAAATTTTCAAATTCATAAAATTCCCTTTTCCTTAGCATGAGCTCCCTACCTCCTTTTAATTATACACTGTTTCAGTGAAAATTTTCAGTTTATTTTTGTTCAAAATTATGTGCCTTTTGGATAGGGAATTATGGTCCAATTTTCACAAAGGCTTCCTGTTAACTTCATCATCTTTGATCATTACTGTCCACTTCAAACATTATTTTTGACATTGGTGTCCTGAAAAATGAAGTACCTGTGAACATATCTCTACTGTACTGTTCTGACCGAAAACTTGACCCAGTTTTATATTTTCAAATGGACATCTAGGCCTGATCATCTTCAACTTGGGAACATAACTAAATAATGTAAGTGAGCAAACATGATGAATGTTTGGTATCAGCACAATTCTGGATGCTTACAAAAATGAGTTACAAGTAGTACACATCCTCAAATGTTTACTTTCTGAAAGAAAACTTTCCCCATTTTAATTTTATTTTAATGCATATGGGGAAATCGAGTGTGAAAGCTAGTTCTCTAGGGCTGCCAGAACTGATTGTGAAAAAATGGATTTCCTGAAGGCATTGCATCATTGGTTCCACCAATAAAAGTAGACTGTCCTAAAGAAAGGGGACCTGCAGTTGAATTCCAGCTGACAGAGAAGACGGTTCAAGAATAAGTAGTAACTTTTGTATCCATTTGCTCAGTACAAAAATTAAAGCAGAGCGATGAGTCTGAAGGGCAGTGTTGCACTGATTTAGCAATTCTACTGGCTTCAAAGCAAAACATTTATAGAATGAGTGTACCAACTTAAGAAAGGCAACAGTTTGAAAGAAAACTTATGCCTAAGTTTCAATAAAGAAAGTTAATGAGCATTTGGAACAGGGTGGATTTGTTTTAAATCAAATCTATTTAAATTACATTTAAATCATTGGTTAGGAAGCCTCAATTTAATCATTTTCTACAAAAAGTGCATTCTTGTGGTTTGATATCCTTTATCCATTTCACTTCCTGAAATTTTGCACTTTTAGAGAAAGGAAAGGGCTTGACTGTGTGTACACAAACTTGCAGAGAGCCAATAGGGTTGATGGGTGGGTCATCAGCAGGGAGCCTTGTTTTCCCTGATAAAAAATTACAAATTGTCTGCTAAAACCTCCCCAAATCTGTGATTAAAATTAACCCCCCCTACAGTCCTGTTCCTTCTTGGCCCCATGTTGGGCACCCAGGGAACTCCTATGGGAGCCGAGCCCTCACTGGCTTCGGTTCCCCAGCCTCACACCGGGGTATTTCCCCTTCTCGGGCCCTCCTCTGGGCACTGGGGCTCTTTTAGTTTAATGCTGTGGTGCTCTGGTTATCCGGCCTAGAGCCGGGGCTAACTTGAGCAGCCTCAAGCTGTTCCCAGGGCCAACTCTGTGGGCTGACCAGCACACTGTGGGGCCCGAGCAGCCTCGAGCTGCTCCAAGGGCCAGCTCTCCATGTGCTGACCTGCACAGCATGTGAGGCCTGAGCAGCCTCAAGCTGCTTCGAGGGCCTGCTCCCCATGTGCCAATCCATGCACTGTCAAGGCTCAGGCAGGGTCCAGATGATAATCTTCTCTGGAGCTCCTCTCTCCTCACCATCCCTTGCTGCATCTGCTCAGCATAGCTGAGCACACTGGGCTTTTATTTACACTGGAGGCCCCACCCCTGAAGTCTGCCGGACCTGCAAAGTTCAGTCTTCAATCAGGTCTAGGAGTTTCTCGCATCCCACCCCACCCTCCAAGCAGGGGCAGGGCAAGCCCCTCCCAGCTGTTACGTGATTGGTGGAAATGTTCCACCAATCCAAAGTGTCCTTCTCCAAGCCAGGTTTGCCAGGCAAAAGCATCGAGCCTGCCACATTTTTATTATTATTATTATTATTATTTTTAAATCATTGATTTTTATCCACCTTGATTAGGAAACTGGAATCTTAAAGCTCAAAGGAGAGCAGTATAAGGGTGCAGACAGAAGTTACAATTTTCGCTTGTTAGCTTGTGTTCTTCAGCTTTTCATCAGCCAGCATATTCCTGGTTTTCTTGTGATGTTGCTGGTATGAGAAGAGTATCCTTGGATCCTAAGACACGAGACTGATACAGAATGCAGGAGTAAGAAAGGCCAGTACTGAAGCCAATTGTTATCCCTCAGTAATAAACGTCAGTACTCAAATAACTATAGATGTAATCTTTCTGCTACTGAAGCCAGTGATATCAAAAGCTGTGTGGTCAGACCCTGTGTGAATTAAATCAGTACTATGTTGGCAAAGGAACTAAAATGTACACTGCTGCAATGTATTCCCTGTTTTGTCTGTGCTGTTTATCAAATGGTGACAGGATTCACTTGGTTTGATGCGTTGTCCTCACTTTTCCACAGATATTCTGGATTGCCTTTGCAGAATGCATAAGATGTATCATTCTTTCCTTTTTATTATTTACTTTATAGTAATGCCAAGAAGCCTGGAGTAACATCAGGTCCCTTTATCTTAGATTCTGTGAAAAAATAGAGACAGACATGGTGTCTCCCACAAAGAATGTAACAATGTCAGAAAACAAGAAAGCTCTAAAGCATGAGGAAAAGGAAAACCAGAAAATAGTCTTTTAGATGCACCCATGTACTATTGTCCTTAGCAATATAAGTCTTGTGTTGATATATTGGTGTGTTATCCCTGCTCGCAAGGTTCAAGGTTGTAAAAGTCCCTCTCTGGCTAAAGCAAAATGTAGACAACTCTTGTGTAGTGTGATATTTTAAATTATGCTACAAGATTTAGGATGAGGCAGTGAGGTGGAAAACAGGAATCAGAAATATTGGGGTTTTAAAATGTAAAAACAAGCTGGCTTGACCTATGTAGTAAATATTGTGTTGAACGGCAGTATCCTTCACTTCCTGATTGAGCAAGAAAGCAGGAAGCAAGTGCATACGGAGATGAAAAAATCCCCACAGACACTGTTTTTCCTATCTCTTGTCTGGGTCAAAAGGTCCTTGGTGTCCTGGGAACATCTAGGGGCTCTGCTTAATTATAATATTTAATTATAATATTTGCTCTAAATAAGAAAATATATTTAGCTTAGAGCATAGCTAGGATGAAAAGTTCAAGAAGAAGGAAGAGAGATGTATAAAAGACTGATGACTGGTGATCCTGCGCACACCTCTTTGATCACCTTGTGGAGTGTCAACACCTGAGATCATGACCACAGACCTCTACACTCAGTGCCCAGCAGGAAACTCAGGACTTGGTACCAATCTTGAATCCTCACTGTAAAGCTCTGAACTGCTCATCAGGCTGGTGTCTTTGTGTGACTAACCTTGTACTTAAAGTGTTTTGTCTTGTCTTCATCTAATAAAGTTCTTGGTACCAAATCAGATGAGTTGCTGTCTCATTCCCCGTTGTTTCTGGTGAAGCAATTCTATGAGTAACACTTGCGATGTTCAGTAAAAAAGAGGAGGCACAATGCTAACAATCCAGAAGTTAGTGTCTATATATTTCTGGAAGAATAGGTTGTAAAACCTGAATATTTAATTACAGTATGCACTTACTGTGTTTAATTACAGTATGCACTTACACCAATGAGTTGTCATACCGCCAAAGTAAATCATCAGGAAAAGAAAATGAACCTCAAACAGGCAAACATTACAAAAAGAAAGTCAGTTTTTAGGCCACTCTGTCTAACTTCCTGTTCGAAGAAAAAAAAATAAAATCAGAAGTCCTAACAAATGAAATTACACTGCAGTTCAAGGTTCTTTGGGTAAATGTGATATTTCTTATTCGATGAACGAAATAGTTGGAAAAGTTGTTCTTTGCAAGCTTTCCGGTCCAAACAGGCATAGGGAGAGTTGTCTGCTGTTTTGTTCTCTTGGATGGAATAGAATCCAATATGCAAAATGCAGGTCTAAAAGTACAGATGTGAGGCAGTGAGGATCAGAGGCCATGGGAGACAGTAGGTGTGAGACAGGTAGGTGGCTGAGGGAGGGTGGAGAGAGGAAGGAATGTTGACCTGGTGATTGAATGTAGCTGGTAAAATGCAGACAGGTTACCCGGAGTTTTCGGATGGCAGGCAGGTTATAACGTGTCATAAATTCTATGTCCATATTTACTCCATGATTTTTTTGTATCCAGTAGATTTATCAAGTGAAGTTTGTAGGCTCATGTATGAAAGGTGTTTTGTAAATTCCATTTGAGGATTAGAACTGAGAGATTGTAGAGAGTGGTTGTCTTGTGAGAAGCGTGCACCCGCAGGTAGTTGGGTATTTTTGTCTTTGATAGATTTTCATTGTGCATTTATTTTGGTATGCAGTTGTTGTTTGGTTTCTCCTAGATATTTTCTATTAGGGCATTTAGTGCACTGGATCAGATGTATTACATTTCTGGAGGTGCAAGTGCAAGATCCAGAAATGGCGATGGTTCCGTTGTGGGAGTTCAATTCACTTAGCTAGCTCATTTCTCCCTTTATTTCTCTTTTTTCACAGATAAGATGTTGAAAAAATTAAACCAAGCAGGATGACAGAAAACATTTGGAGAATCTGGATCATCTACACAGTCATAGCTGCAAAGGTTTCAGAAGAAAGAGCTGTGAAGCAGGTTTGTCCTTCATGTGATGCTGCTCATTTTTGTGACTGTTCTTTCTTGGGGCTGAACACCATTCCTTCGGGGCTAACAAGTGAAATCACAGGACTAAACCTGGCCCACAACAAGATAAAACATATCAGTGAAAATGACCTGAGGTCAGGCTTGAACCTCCGAGTGCTGTTGCTGCAATCAAATCAAATTTGGACAATAGATGAGAATTCATTTCACTCCCTTGGAAAACTGGAGCATTTGGATTTATCCAATAATAACATGACTCGCTTGTCACCGACTTGGTTCAGGGGCTTTGTTTCCTTACAGCACCTGGACATACGGGGTAATTTCTATGCAGAACTGGGAGAAGGGTACCTGTTTTCTAATCTTAAAAATCTGAGAAATCTGTACCTTGGGAATAAAGATCGCTTCCTTGCTATACGGCAGCAGGACTTTGAAGGAATTACTGTTCTTGAGCAACTTGAAATTCAGGGGGAAAAGCTCCACTGGTATGAGCAGGGAAGTTTGAAATCCATTAGGAACATAAATCACATAATCATAAACGTAAGAAACATTTCTGTGCTGTCAGCAATTCTGGGGGATCTTGTAAATTCTGTAACCTGCTTAGAACTGAGAAATATAGCCTTCAGGACAGATAATGAAACTATGTTACTGAATATCATGATTCCTTCTGTTATGAAGAAACTTCGATTTAAAAATGTTTTGCTTACAGATCAAAGCATACCTAGTATAATGGGCATCATGGTGAACATGAGGCAATTGGTAGAGCTGGAGGCAGAAGACTGTACATTGCAGGGGACTGGACAATGGTCTGAACAAATTCCTGCAGACAAACCAAACCCTGTTAAAGTAGTGACAATAAGGAACTTATCCATCGAAAAATTTTATTTATTTACAGACCTTAATAGTATGTTAAATCTTATAGGTAACCTTACGAAAGTCATTGTTGGCAATGCTAAGGTCTTCTTGGTTCCTTGCTTCATTTCACAACATTTGCATTCACTGGAGTATCTTGACCTTAGTGACAACTTGCTTTCAGATCCCGCTTTGAAGTATTCAGCATGTAAGGGCGCTTGGCCTGTTTTGAACACTTTAAATTTAAGTCAGAATTCTCTAAGTGATATAAAGATGACTGGAAAAAGTTTAGCTCACCTACAGAAACTAGCACAACTAGACATTAGCCAGAATAATTTTGGGCAGATGCCAGAAGTATGTGAATGGCCAGAAAACCTGAAGTATTTAAATCTATCAGGCACTCAAATCCCCAAGCTAACAGGTTGCATTCCTCCAACTCTTGAAGTTTTGGATGTTAGTAGCAACAACCTGATTGAATTTAGAATAGAGCTCCCACTCCTCCGAGAGCTATACATTGCCCAAAACAAATTAAAGGCCTTACCAGATGCTACACTCCTTCCTGCTGTAGCAGCTCTGACAATCACAAGAAACAAGTTAAACAGTTTCTCCAAGGAAGAATATGAATCCTTTAAGAACATGAAGAGGCTGGAGGCTGGGGACAATAATTTCATCTGCTCTTGTGAATTTCTCTCCTTCATTCAGTATGAGGTAGGAATAGCCAATGTGTTGGCTGACTGGCCAGAAAACTACATTTGTGACTCTCCATCTGCTGTGAGAGGGAAACAGGTGGAAGCTGCTCATCTTTCGCTGATGGAATGCCACCAAACACTGGTGGTGTCCTTAACCTGTGTTCTGCTGCTCCTTCTCATCCTGCTCATTGTGATTGTGGGGTACAAGCTGCATGCATTCTGGTATATGAAAATGACCTGGGCTTGGCTTCAAGCCAAAAGGAAGCCACAGAAAGTGCAAACAAAGGACGTCTGTTATGATGCTTTTGTTTCCTACAGTGAGAGAGACTCTGAGTGGGTTGAAGAGTTAATGGTACAGGAACTGGAGCAGGCCAACCCCCCTCTGAGACTGTGTCTTCACAAACGGGATTTTGTGCCTGGGAAGTGGATCATTGATAACATCATTGACTCCATTGAGAAGAGTCATAAGACATTGTTTGTGCTGTCAGAGCACTTTGTGCAGAGCGAGTGGTGCAAGTATGAGCTGGACTTCTCCCACTTTCGCCTCTTTGATGAGAACAATGATACA